CACACACACACTCTCACACACACACACACACACATGCATACACACATATATATAGTTTTAAAATATTAGCAACGCGATTCTACATGCGCCCAATGTGAAACAGCCAAGCTAATATATAACATCTAAAAGATACAATTGACGATTATGCATAGAAATTCGTTATATCGTATATCAGAAACATTCCTCTCTTTCCTTATACAACAAAATATATTTTTTATTTCAGAATTTCAAAACAAGACATATATATTTTATGTTAGTTTTCACAAATATCATTTTTACACATTCGACATATTATAGGAAATGTACTGTCTGTCTCTTTCCCTCTCTTTCTCGCTTTCTTTCAGCTAGCATATATTAATTAAAAGGATAACGATAAAATTTTGCAGTTTATTATATATATAGTGTAAAATACATGTTACGATTTTCAAGAACATATGTTTTCCCACGAATTTAGCGAGAAGATAACGAGTCTAAACTGGATACGCATAGGTCACATGATAATTTATCCTTGACCCAGTATCTTTACCGTCAGTCGCTACTCCGATCGCATCAAGGTACATACGATGCATAATTTTCTACACAACGTCGTCTACAATGCAACAGTAGCAGTAGAGGCTGTAGACACTTACTGAGTAAGCTGGTCAGAAAATCAGTTTACTCTCTACGTTAATGTAAGGAATATTATCAACTATGATTGGTCGATTTCTATGTCTACTTCTTAGTCCACTACTGCTACTGCTCATTGTAGACCATAAAGATCATAAAGATCAAGAGCGACTGCATTGGTTGCATTCAGTATTCCAACCGCTGATTGACATGACGATGATTCAACAGACTCAACAGTTGAGTGAGCGCTCGCTACTATTGATGTATTTTTCTAAATATAAAATTCTGATTGGATGATCTAAAAGAATACACCAATAACAGCGAGCGTTAACTCAACTGTTGAATTCGCTGAATGAGTTTCTACCATAAAAAAAATGCTTTCAATATAAAATTGCTATTTTTTCGTCTGCTTTTCTGTCTGCTAGAAATTACTAAGAAATATAAAAGTTTATAGAAAAGCGTTAATTTTTCGATGAAAAGTATAACTGAGGATCGTAGGATTCGTAAAGATTGAAAAAATTTATCAAATTTTTAAAAATACAATATTTTATTCAATGTACTCTAAACATGCCGTAAATAAAACTTACAGAATCTCTTAATAAATTGGTACGAATCTCTTAATAAAGAATCATATAAAAGTCATTAATAATTAAATACGTAACAAGGTAAATCGGACATTTTAATTTTCTTTGATCTTTCATATATAAAAAGAGATCTTTGTATATAATAATGTATAATAGATATCATATATAGAAAAATATTATCTATATATATTCAATTGAAAAAAAAAAAAGAAATTTTATAATATAATATTGAATAGAATAAGAACAAGTTATAATTCATTAAAGTCGCAATCACAAAATTAGAGAAAGAAAGTCATATTTTAACGTTCCTTCACTTTCAACATTATTATACATTTGTTATGTGTGTGCGTGCGCGCGCGCGCGCGCGCGCGTGTGTGTGTGTGTACACACACACACAAAATTTCATTATATAGAGTGGATTAAGGTTGTCTCATCTGCCATACATTTTCACATAAATAAATGACCAAACTAAAATATATCTTAATCCCTGCTTTTAGAAAATAATGTATTCGATATATCATTAGCTGCAAATTATTTGCAAAACATTTACATCAAGTATAAATTAATACAGAACACAAGATTAAGTGAAACGATTTTCCGTGTCAAAATTTTGAGCATATATTCAAGTTAATTACGACATATTGTACTTACATTTTTATTTTTCAAACATTAATAGTCATCTTGTGATTTTAGTTTACATAGTAATATTTTTATTTTAAACTGAAGAATAATCTAATAGAATTTTATTTCCAATTACAATAAATTACAATCGATTTAGTAGAGATGAAAACTATCACTTACTCTCGAAAGTTTAAAGAGTACTAAAACAATCATCAATCAGATATCCGGGCGATTGAAAGAAATAATAGCGCAGAAGTTTTGTGCGTTTGATTTTCACAATAATATATTCAAATATCCTTACATAAAATATCGATCGTTAACGATTCAGCTCAACATTCGAACCATCTTCAGCGATGAAGTAATTACATGTGATGTTGATTGTACATCATGTGATATATTAAATCAAAAAGTGCAGCAAGTAGAGTCTCTTAATTCCAAATTTAAGAGCGTACTGTCAACCGATATTTTATGTAAGAATTTAAATATATTATTTATTTTATGTAAGAATTTAAATATATTATTGAAGATCAAACGCACCAAAACTTTTGTGTTTATTATTGCTCTCAATCGCCCGGATATTTCTGATTAATGATTGTTTTATTATCTAAAGAGCTCATTTTGTTAATTAATTTGTTTTAAAGAATACTAATTCGCTTCGCTCTTCATTATGATTATGTATATTCAATGACATTTGTCAGCACTTGAATATACGAAACGAATCATTATTTCGGCCTAATTATGACACAAGTATCATAAAATATTATGTTGTAAAATTAAAGTTTTAGACTCTGTCATTAAATTTTTTATAAGTCTTTCCCTTTTTCCCTCTCTCTTTTTCCTCCCCCTATCCTCTTCCTCTCTTCTGTTTTCTCCTTCTCTAACCTTCATTTAATTCGATAGAAAACTAATATGTCAATGTATCATGATTAAGAAATGGAAGCACACGGCATATACATGGAAGCTTGTATATCATTATCACGCTGTATACGATTGTAGCATAATAACGATCCAAAAATACATTCAATAGTGGACATCTATTGAATCGACAATAGCTAAAGTTTTGAAACTACAATATACGCCAAATACTTTCTTCGTACGGAATAATCGTCGCATAAAATTGTTTCTTTTTCTAGCAAGGGACGTCACAAGTATCCGGCATCGATTTGATTTTCCGTGAAATATGTTGTTAAACACAAAAATCTAAGACACATATTTTTTATACGTGCGCTAACTCATGTTTAAGGGGCAAAATATCCCTTTGAAAAAAAAAATGGTATTTAAATTTCGAGCCGAATACTGTCGGAAGTATAAAAGATGGAAAAAAATTATTTAAACAAAAGTTGTACGATTTTAAGAGTACTTCAATGATGTGAAGAAACAAATTTTTTTGTTTGACGATTATTATTCCAAATATAAGTATTCGCTCATGTACATGCAAAACAATATAAGTGATTTCAATAATCACGTTTTTTAAATTATTGATCTGAATTGATTATTGAAATCACTTTTATATTAACAACTGTTCACAAAAATTAAAAAAAAATTTGTTTCTTCACAACATTGAAGTATTTTTGAAATCGTACAATTTTTATTTAAAAAATGTTTATACTTCCGATAGTACTCGGCTCGAAATAGAAATATCGTTTTTTTTCAAAGGGGTGTTTTACTCCTTAAACATGAGTTAGCGTACGTATAAAAAAATACGTGTCTTTTAGATTTTTGTGCTTAACACACGGAGAATCAAATCGGACAGTTATATGACTTCCGTTGTAAGAATAATTGTTACAATTTGCTTATTTACAAGATTTTACAAGAAATTGGAAGAAAGACTCAAGTTAAGTCTTACATAATAATTTATATGATTTAGAACTATATTGTCCGATAATCAAGTTGGAGTAATATATAATACAAACGAGCGAAATTTTCAAGCGAGATTCCACGAACGTTTCGGTGTTTCGCGATCAAAGTTAGTATTAAAAAAATTAGTGTCTATCTACATCATTATATCACAAAATGCGCGTGAAGAGTCGCATCATTTCACCTGCCTTCATCCGAATGCTCGGCCAACTGTCTATGATGATTCTGATGAGATTGTACATTCGAATTTTGCCTAGTTTGCACAACTACATCATCTTCAACGTCGTTTCTGCCGTTTTCTTCAACAAAAGCTGTGTCTCTATTTTGGACGTTTTCAACTTTATACAGTATGTCGTGGCAAAGAGGGCATCGGTCTTGAACGTATAACCATTTCCGCAAGCATACACCGTGGAAATAATGATTGCATTGAGTGATCTTGGCGCTTTGCATTTCTTGATAACAAATCGCACAAACATCGTCTAACTGTTCAAGTTGTTCGGCTTTTGCTTCCGGTAAAGAATTAATCTTATTCACAGCCGTCCGGCGTTTCATAAAAACGCTCCATCCAGCCTTCGCTTCGCACCAGATATTAAAGTAAGCGTGTATACACATCATGATAGCACGAATAGCTCCACCAGACTCGAAGATCAATATCCAGAAACCGTTAAAAAACAATATAATACCGAAAGCAAATTCCACAGTATTGCCAAATGACCTTATTATGTATACGCAATCGTCAAATTGTTCCCAGAATTCACTTCTGTATGCGTCGATTAGAAACAACGAATAAATTGCTAGCGAGACGAGTACTTTGACTATTACCTCAATGCTAAAAACCGACACAGCCAATAACCATGTACTCACGGTGAAATGGGACCAGAGGAATACAAGTAACGAAACCGGGAAGAATATTAGAAAAGCACAGACCGCCAAAGCCCGTAAATGTCTATGTAACGCCGGATTATGAGAAGCACTGAGCGACATCAACAATGGATTCACTATATTGTGCACAAAATGTAAAATCGCCGTGAACAATAGGCAAAAATTACGATATAATCGTACTAGACGTTTCTCTCTATCGAGACTCGTCAATCCGGTTTGTAGGGCAAGAATATAAAATAATATAGCGGACACCGTGCCGATACTCTTCTCATCTTCGTCTTCCGTCAAT